TATCTTTGTTAAGTACTCAGGGATAGAAGGACACAATTTATATATAATCAAATACTTCCAGATGATTAAAAAGTGTAAATAGTTACCACTTTGTGCCTACATATGCATGCATGTGAGTCTCTATAGACAGACAGGGAGAACGACTGTGGCAAAATACTTTAAAATGGTGACTCTGGGTGGGGGTGGGAGGTGCCTGGGTGGCTCAGTTGGTTACGTGTCCAGCTCTTGGTTTCAGCTCAGGTCCTGATCTCTGGGCCTCAAGACTGAGCCTGGCATTGGGCTCCATGATTAGTGGAGAGTCTGTTGATATTCTCTCCCTCTCCCTTTAGGCTCCCCTCCCCTACTTTCCCTCTCAAATAAATAAATAAATCTTTTTTTAAAAAATTGTGTATCTGGGCCCCACAAACAAGAGGAACTACTTAACCCATTTTCCATTCACACAGTACCGAGGGCTCCTAGAGGTGATAAGGCCTAATATACTGGAAGGTAGAATCCTTTCGATGATCCCTGCTCTTAGAAATTCCTATTTCTTTCTCTACGCTAGTATTTCCTCAACTATGGCCCAGGGAACACTAGCGTCTCATAGATATAGGATTCTCGATTCTCGGTACTACATTTGGTATTTCCAATGCACAGTAAAACCAGGTGTTAGAGAGACACGTGTTTAGTTTTAACTTAATAGTTCCCAAATTTATTTAATCACAAACATCTTTTCTAGGAAGACCTATGAATTCTTGTGAGATGTGTGAGATGCTAGTATTCTCTGGAACACAGTTTGGAAAATGCTTCCAAATTCAAATCTTTGGAATGCCTACTGCTGGGTCTTAGAAGCCACCTATTTTCCATTCCAGTGGCTTTTGTTATGGGTAATGACCTTCCCTGGGGGACTCTGAGCACATTATCACTTGATGCCTTTGAATTTTAGAAACTGGTACAGGAAAGATTGCATGGAGATTTTAAGGGCGGAAATGGATATCGTCAGGAAACATTTAGGAAACCCGGACTAAGGACAAATTTTAAATTAAATTTGAGATTATATTGTATCACATGGGAGTGAAAAATAGTGTAAAAGAGTTGGCAAGGTTGGTATGAAACTGTTTCAGTTAAGAACAAAGGGAAACCAACGTCTGGTGGCTAGATAAATCAAAATTACCCTTTGGCAGAATGTCAACCTGAATCAAGAACTATAAAACATTCAACATCTTTCCTTCTGATGGTTTAAACGTCTGAAAATTTATACCAGCAAATAAAGAAAAAAAGCATTTTGTATAAGAATGTTCAGAATTACGGATACTAACAAAACATGGCGAGTCCACTGAGCTCCTGCACTCCGTAAATGGTCCCACCAGCCATACCTTAGCCAGAAACCTGGCCCAACACCAGACTCCTCCATTTCCTTCACTTCCCCAACTCCTTAGCTCACTGTTTCTAGTCTCTATGCATCTCTCAAGTCTGTCCATGTTTTTATCCCCATGACAACACCTGAGTCCAGGTGTTATCATCCCCCACCTGGTCTGCTGCGGCCGTCTTGATTATTTCTTTGCCATCCTTGATTATTTCTTTGCCATCCAGTCCATTCTCCACACTGTGACCCTTCAAGACTGATAATCTCATGATGTCAGTCTTCCTGCTTGAAAACCCTTAACTGCCCTTAGGATGAAGCTCAAATTCCTTCCCATGATTTTCAACACCCCACTTGAATGATACCGATCTAGAGCCTTCACCATCCCACTGCCCAGGCAGAGGGAACTTGCTTCAGTTCCCTGAAGTCGAGCTACATCTCACTTTCAGACTTTTGCACACGCTCTTCCCTCTGCCTGGGCTGGTCTTCCTCACCTCTTAGTACTTTGTGAAATAGGTCTCTGTAATTAACAACTCAGGAAACAACAGATGTTGCTGAGGATGTGGAGAGAGGGGAATCCTCCTACACTGTTGGTGGGAATGCAGGCTGGTGCAGCCACTCTGTAAAACACTATGGAGGTTCCTCAAAAAGTTAAAAATAGAGCTATCCTATGACCCAGCAATTGCATAACTGGGTATTTATCCAAAGGATACAAAAATAGTGATTCAAAGGGGTACCTGTGCCTCAATATTTATAACAGCAATGTCCACAATAGCCAAACCATGGACAGAGACCAGATGTCCATGGACGGATGAATGGATAAAGAAGATGTAGTGTATTTATACAATGGAATATTACTCGGCTATCAAAAAAGAATGAAATCTTGCCATTTGCAATGATATGGATGGAACTAGAGGGTATTAGGCTAAGTGAAATAAGTCAATCAGAAAGAAAAACACCATATGATTTCACTCAAATGCTGAATTTAAGAAACAAAACAGATGAACATAGGGGAAGGGAAGGAAAAGTAAAATAAGACAAAAACAGACAGGGAGACAAACCATAAGACTCTGAACTCCAGGAAAAAAACTGAGGGTTGATAGAGGGGAGATGTGGCTGGGGGATGGGGTAACTGGGTGATGGGCATTAAGGAGGGCACGTGATATAATGAGCACTGGGTGTTATATGCAACTGATGAATCACTAAATTCTACCCCAGAAACTAATAATATACTATATGTTAACTACATTGAATTTACATTAAAATTTTTTTTAAAAATTAGGTACGTATGTTTATTATGTTTGCTTCCTCACATCTCACTCACCACACAATCTGGTTTCTGCCTCTTGACTACCCCAGTGTTTCCCTTGACCAAGTCATCAAGGAAAGAGAAAGGAAAAAGAAAGGAAAGAGGGGAATTTTTAAAATCCTGTGTAGTGCTATGTGTCAGGCACTGTGCTAAGCACTTTAGGATTTAGGAATACTCATTCATTTATTCTCTCAACTGCCCCATGTCCTTCAGAACAGCAAAAGGTATCAAAAGACACAGAAGATACTACTTTCGCTTTTACTTTTGCTCATGTTTTTCTGCCAAATTCTTCTTTGCTCTCTTTGCTAGGTTATCCTTCTTGACTTGACCAATGAACGCTGAAGTTACTTAAGGCTCTGTTGTATCCTTTTCTCACTCAATAACCTACCTGCCCCCCAACACACACCACTGGGTGATCTCATCCTCTCCCAAGGCAACTAACTGCATATACATAGATGACTTCCTGACCCCTGTTCTGAGCTCTAGTCCCCATTATGTAACTGACATTTCCACCTGTATGGGCATCTCAGACCCGCCGTCGAAACCTGAGCTTGCCATCTCTCCAGCACCTGTCAACGCCTGCTCCCCAACCCCCACTGTACCTGGCACAAACATCCACGCAGTTGTTCAGACCAGAAACCCAGGAGTCATCATTGATTCATCCCCATGCCCTCTTCTCCCCACATCCAATCTATCTCCATACCTCATCAATTCTGCCTCGTACATCTTTGTCAAACCCATCTGCTTCTCTTCATCCTTACTATCATCATCCTTGTCCGAGGCAAAATCATCTTCAGCCTTTGCTACTTTGGTCGTCTCCGAACTGTTCTCCTTACTTCCACTGTTGGCACATTTTCCCTGGTCTATTCTGTTCCATACCAGTTAGAAAAATCTTCCTGAAAACTACTGGGTTTGACTCTGGGCTATGCTATTTATTGGCATTGATGGTACTCCTGGGTCTATCACTCAACCTTTCCAATTCTTGACTTCCTTATCTATAAACTGGACATAATACTATGTCATAAGGAGATAGTAATTAAGAGGAATAATCCAGGGGCGACTGGGTGGCTCAGTGGGTTAAGCCTCTGCCTTCGGCTCAGGTCACAATCTCAGGGTCCTGGGATCGAGCCGCACCTGGGGCTCTCTGCTCAGCAGGGAGTCTGCTCTCCTCTCTCTCTCTCTGCCTGCCTCTCTGCCTACCTGTGATCTCTGTCTGTCAGATGAATAAATAAAATCTTAAAAAAAAAAAGAGAGAGAGATAATCCAGGTAGCAGTGACAGAATAGGATATTCTAAAAACTCTGGGTGGGTGTATACATGGTCCGACAAATTTAAAAAGAAAGAGCAATCCAGAACTCTTAATCCCATGTCATTGCATCTGATCCTAAATAACAAGAATAGTTCGGTCTATATTTTACAACTTTAACAGGGAAAAATGTTCAGACAAAACAATTTAAAATGTGTTTTCAACAGATGATGCCATACAAAAACATCGAACTCACTGTAAAGGTTAATTTTATGTGTCAACTTGGTGAGGCCATGGTGCCTGGTTTTTAGGCCAAACACTAGTCTGGATGTTGCTGTGAATGCATCTTGTAGATGTGATTAACATTTACAATCAGACTTGGAGTAAAGGACATTGCCCTCTGCGATGTGAGTGGGCCTTATCCAATCAGTTGAAGGCCTAAAGAGCAGCCTAAAGAGCAAAAAGCTGAGGTTTTCTGGAGAAGAAGTGATTCCATCTCAAGACTATAACATAGAGATCAGGGCTGAGTTTTCAGCTGGCCTGCCTACCCTATGTATTTCGGACTCATGCGTCCCCCCACGACTGCGTCAGTCAATTCCCTAAAATCAACCTCTCTCTCTGTATATGTCCTGTTGGTTCTGTTTCTCAGGAGAACCCTGACTGACACACTCACAGAGGAATCCTACGATGATAAAGGAGATCAGAAGCTAATAAATGACAACTCCAAGTGGCTTCAAGTGACAGATTTTAGAATGGTAGAAAATTTTAGATGGTAGAAGATTTTAGATGGTTAGAAAAGAACCTTAATCAGTTTGATAACATAAGCTCTAAATAAACGAGAAGACAAAGAACTTCAGAAAATAAGACTTGAATCATGGCACTAATAGGAGAAAAGCCGTCTTCAAGGAGTCTCAGGCTATCTGAGGACCATGCACCTGGCAACAGAGGACCCCTCTCCCACACTTATCCACTCGGTCACCTAGACGAAGATGTTCTTATCCCGAGCAAACAACAAAACCAGGCGTTCTGAGCTGCTCTTCCACTCATGTCCATGGAAACCAGTGGGTCCAGAAGAACTTTGGTGGCCCGTAGATTGCAGCTTACCTGTAGAAAATGGTTGACGGATGCGTCGTGAAGTCCCAGGGCTTGCTCGGCACCAGCTAATTCCCTCAATATTGGTACACACTCAAGACTTTTTTCACCTCGACTGATCTCAATATATTCTAAAGCCTCTTGGTAGTGAGGCAGAGCTTCTTTTGATTTCTTCTGACTTTGATACATCCTAAAAAAAAATCAAAGAGATTACTTCTTAAATAATTAGAAGACATATAGGTGGGAAAATGTATAAATCTAAGGGTTACGATTTGGCTCTCTGACCCCTGTTGTCCAGGTTCACTCTCCAGCCAGCTAAGTTTTTGTTTCCTCCAAAGAGGCAGCAGGCACGATGGTCAAGCAGGTGGAGTCTAGAATAACGAGGAAGCTTCGAATCCTGGCTCCACTAGCTACCAGATGTGTGAATTTCCAGTTGCTTCACAGCTTTCCCATCTCTAAGTTAAGAATAGTAACAGTCCTTACTTTATAGGGTTACAGTGAAGATGAGATTAGCTAATACTCATAAAAACATCTAGAACAGTCTCTGACATACAGTAAGTGCCATGTAGGTGTTGGGTTAAAGAATACAAAATAGTTAACAAACAATAAGAGCTAGCACAAAGGATGCCGAAATGCTGATAACTGATCTGTTGAGAAATTAGAGAAATTTCCCAGTATTGGTGAGGGCATAAAGCACTCTTATTAACTGTTAGAAAGGATATAATTTGAACATAAACTTTTCTGTATCAAAATCCTACATACATAAGTACAGACATATTTCTGCTAATGGCACTTTAGTAGTTTCTCTTAAAAGGAGATACTCTGGCAGGACATGTACAGGGATGTTTATCTAAGCACTCTTTGTAATAGTGGAAAAGTACAAAGTATTTAAAATACACAAATAGGAGATCCTCCAAGCAGATAACAGTAAGTATCTCACTCCTGTGGAATGCCAAAATAGCCCTTAAAGTTGATGTTGATCCAGATTTACCAACATAGAAATATAAAAGGCAGAATACAAAAATGCTTTGTATAGTATCTCATGCAGGTGAAAATGTTATAGCTTAATCTATATGTATGATACGCATTAAGAGCCATCTAAATGGACAATAAAATGTGAGCAGTAGTTACCTTTTTTTTTTTTTTAATTTGACAGACAGAGATCACAAGTAGGCAGAGAGGCAGGCAGAGAGAGAGAGAGGGAAGTAGGCTCCCCGCTGAGCAGAGAGCCCAATGCAGGACTCAAACCCAGGACCCTGAGATCATGACCTGAGCGGAAGGCAGAGGCTTAACCCACTGAGCCACCCAGGCGCCCCAATAGTAGTTACCTTTAAGGGGTTGGTAGTAATTTTGACTTTACTTACTTATGCTTTCTAAATTTCCCGTATTTTCTTCTATAAAATTCTATTACTCTGACATCAGAAAAATGTTAATTTAAAAATTGTAAGTTAAGGGGGCAGTGGGAAAAGGTTCTTATCCCTTTTTGGGATAAAACCCTGTCACGTAAAAAAAATACCCATGTGTTTTGTTCAGCAAACGTACTAGCAGACATTTAAAAAACACTGTTCTCTAAAATATTTGTTAAGAAATAGAAACTTTGGGGGGCCTGGGTGGCTCAGTGGGTTAAAGCCTCTGCCTTCGGCTCAGGTCATGGTCTCAGGGTCCCAGGATCAAGTTCCGCATCGGCTCTCTGCTCGGCGGGGAGCCTGTTTCCTCCTCTCTCTGCCTGCCTCTCTGCCTACTTGTGATCTCTATCTGTCAAATACATAAATAAAATCTTAAAAAAAAAGAAAGAAAGAAATAGAACCTTTTTCTTGCATGGAAGAACTTTATGCATCAAATTCATCATGAAAGCTACCAATCCCTTCTATGTTACCTTTTACCTTAGAATCTTTACTACAAAAAGGTCTTATAATTCCCAACTGCCCATGGGTAAGGGACACAATGTGATTAAGTGACTAGGAAACCACACACATGCAAAAAAAAAAAAAAAAGTCTTGTTTTCAACTCAGTCACTGGAATTTGTTCACAACCATTTTTGTTCTCTAATAAATTTCAAAAGAACTGATAGAAATAAAAATGCTCTTTAGATCTGTGGTTCAGATGGCCACAGTGAAATAAAACCCAGACTGGATAACTTATGACCTGGGACACCTTCTCTGACTGGACGAGGTCAGGGATACGTTCCTGGACCAAACAGGGCCCAGGTTGTAGCTTACAGCAACTCTTCACTTTAGAAAGGAAGAGATAAATAAGTGACTGAGTAATACCGGATTTGCCTTCTGACTCTTACTGAGTTTTGGATGTAGTGAGTAATAATTAGCTTTGTAAGTATCATATTTTGCTTTTGAAGAGAAAAATCCACTACCGTCTTGGGTGATAGAAAGAGGCTTTGAAACATATGGCTGATAACAAATCACTCAGCCAAAAAATTAGATTTCTGGTAGACAAATGTTTCAGAACAATTGAAAACAGGAGTCAGCAAACCATAGCCTGTGCACCAGATCTGCTCACTGTCTATTTTTGTAAATAAAGTTTTATTGGCACACAGCCCCACCCACTTGTTTCCGCATTGTCTCTGGGTGCTTTTGTACCTCAATGGCAGAGTTGAGTACTTGCAACAGATACCTACAAAGCCTGAAATATTTACTGTCTGGGCCTTTACAGAAGAAGTTTGCTAATCTCTGGTCTAGAATCTAGAGAAAGCTTTTAAAGTGACTTCAGAGGTTTTTTCCATCTACTTTAGCCTAGAGAACTCCAATAATGCCACAAATATTTGAGCAAAGGAAAAAAAAATAATCTTCTTCCTTTCTCGTGTTCATAAATGATGAAGCATGTGCCAAGGAATAATAAGTCTTTTGTTTGCAAAGCTGCTATTAAAATCATAGAAGGGTAATAAAGCAAATACAAATGCCAGGATGACTTCATTTGAGCAACAGTTTTGTTTGTTTGTTTGTTTTTAAAGATTTTATTTATTTGAGAAAGAGAGAGAGCATGAGCAGGGAGAAGGGTAGGGGGAGAGGCAGACCACCAATCCTCACCAGTCAGGGAGCCCAATGCTGGAATCATTCCCAGGACCCCAAGATCATGACCTGAGTGGAAGTCAGACACTTAGCTGCCTGAGCCCCCCGGGCACCCCATGAGCAATAGCTCTAAGAGAAAGCAATATTGAAAGCTTAGTAATCAAGCTTATAAATGAAAAAAAAAAGTAAATAATAACAAGACATAAGTTAATTCATATAACAACAACTGTTCCTTCCCGAGACAGAGCATGAAAGAAAAGCATTTGAGAGTTTGGAGCCGTGGAGAACAGGGACAACTTGTAGCCATTTACCTACTCCCTTAGCCAAAAGCACGGCATATTGCTCCAGGCTAACCATTTTTTTCAGGTATCAGAAAGTCATCCTTCAGATACTGGACCCTTGGAGACAATTTTACAAAAAGAAGAACCCAGGATGAGAGGCAGGACTGTCAGTTACAAGGACTGCAGCAAGAATAGAAAAACCCAAGCTGTAGGTTTTTTTGTTTCTAGTAGAGAGAGAAAGAGAAGAGGGTGCAAGTGGCAGAAGGAGACAGAGAGAGAGAATTCTACCAGGCTCCACGCCCAGTGTGGAGCTCGATGTGGGACTTGATCTCATGACACTGAGATCATGACGTGAGCTGAAATCAAGAGTCAGATGCCCAACTGACCGAGCCACCCGGATGCCCCCCAAACTGGAGCTGGAGCATCCTTGCAGACAAGACCACACAACCTTGGGCAGGAACTTAATGTCTCTGCATCTTGGTATTCAGTACACTTGTTGCAGAACCAAGGAAGGTGTCTGAAATGCTTTGCAAACTGAGGCAAGTCATACAGATTGGTATTAAGTGCCTACATGTCATATACCTTTTATCCCTTCCCTCCCAACCACTAGTCTGTATGGAACTAAGTGCTACAGCTTCAGGTTGTTCTTCTGTTGAAATGGCCTCTACTGTGGTTTCACACTCACCCACTTATGATTTTGGAAAGTCCAAATAATGAGCATCATCAGTCAAACACATGTGCCACTGAGGAAGGCATTTTCTTATCCAGCTGAGTTTTTAAAGAATCTGAGAATAATCTATTATAGGAATAATACATAGTCATTAAAAGAAAAGATACAGAAAAATAAAAAATATAAATAAATATATAGTTTATATTTATATTATAAATTATATGATTATATATAATTTACATATAAGTATAAATAATATTTACATATGATTATAAATTATATATTTTATAGGATTATAAATTATATAAAAGTATATTTATATGAAATATTTTGTCTTTATTTAATTTTATTTATAAAAATAAAAAATGTATATACATAATCGCAACAACCAAAGATGAGTGCTGTACACCTTGATATATACACTTCCAGATAATTCCCTATGAGTATTTTTTAAATGGATCATCATGTTTTAGAATCTGCTTCTCTCACTTAGTCATGTATCAAAATGTGGCAATGAATGCTATCATATCACTTTTTTTTTTTTTTAATTTGACAGAGAGAGATCACAAGTAGGCAGAGAGGCAGGCAGAGAGAGAGAGGAGGAAGCAGGCTCCATGCCAAGCAGAGAGCCCGATGTGGGGCTCGATCCCAGGACCCTGAGATCATGACCTGAGCTGAAGGCAGAGGATTAACCCACTGAGCCACCTAGGTGCCCCTATCATATCACTTTTAGTGGTTGGGTGGTGTCATATCAGATTTAATTGACCATTCATCTTTAAAAATAATATGTTAGGAAGTTTAAAAAATCGTTTGTGGGAAAGTTTTATAAATTTAAGAATTTATATACATATAAGTATGTGTATATATAAAAATAACTCCTGCATATATAATATATAAAATATATAAACAACTCTTGCAATAAAATAAAAAGAATATATAAACAACTCTTGCAATAAAATAAAAGGACAACCCAGTTTAAAGATGGGCAAAGTTTCGGGCACCTGGGTGGCTGCCTTCGGCTCAGGTCATGATCTCAGGGTCCTGGATCGAGTCCCGCATTGGGCTCTTTGCTCAGCAGGGAGCCTGCTTCCCTCCTTCTCTCTCTCTGCCTACCTCTCCATCTACTTGGGATCTCTCTCTGTCAGATAAATAAATAAAATCTTTAAAAAAAAAAAAAGATGGGCAAAGTTTCTAAATAGCCATTTCTCCAAAGAAG